GTCCGTCCTACTTTGTTTGTCTAGTCTACCCGCGCTCATCCGGTCCGCTTTGCCGCCTAAAGTAAATCCCAGTGGATCCTTCCGCACTAACGCGTGCGGCCTCGCTTCTCGCCTGAACCGAAACGTGCAAAAATGTGAAGAAAAAGAAAGAAAAGGACGTTCTTGTCGTTAAAGGGTGTTTTTTGGTGGCATCAAACGAGTTGTACTGCTCGTCCTTCGTTTATTATTATTGTTGTTCGCCACTATCACATTGGGTGTCAGCCGTAGGGGTGCTCGCTCCTGGTTTGAGCACTGCTCTAGAAGAAGAGAGTATCCACCTAGTCGCACAGCGAAGGGAGAACAGGAGAAGGGGTGGGTGCCTGGGGGACCACGGCTTCGGCCGGCTTCAGCGCCGTTGCTGCCTTTGACCTCTGACCTTTGCAAAAGAGGGACGGGGCTAACTAGCAGTCCGAAGCTTGTTTTCCCTTTTCCGAGAGCACTGGGTCGCTAGAAAAAACAGCAATAATTTGAAAGAGGAAATAAATAAAAAAGAATATACAAAATGAACTTGGGGACGTGGGTGGGGTGAGGTGGGGGAGAAGGGGACACTGAGTAGGGCTCGTGGGGCACGTGGCCTCAGCCCTCAGACCAGCTTATGAAGAAGGCTGTGCCAGCGGCTTGGCTGATTGTCTTTCTTGTACGTCGAAGTGGGATAAGACAAACACCACTAGAAATATCGAAGGGGCTTTCACTCGGCATTTTCGTGTACAGTGTATTACATATTACGCAGCATTACGCCGGCGTTACGCAGGCCTTGCAACAAAAAATCTACCCTTTTAGAGCACATTTTCCTATTTTTCGGTACCTATTTCAGGTGGCTACTGTAAATGAAAACCCCCTCGGGAAATATCATCCGGAAAAAGATGTCACTTTCAGCAAAGTACAATAATTCTCATTTCCCCTGCCAGTCGGGTTGACTTGGGTGAAGGTACATGAGTCCGCAAAGTTTCGTTTACGACACAATTGACTGCTAGTAGTCTCAGTGGGATGAATGATTAATCACTCCGACCATGTGTTTGTTCAGAAAATGTATTCTCCAAGCGCCGCACCTGCGTTGGATTCTCTGGTGGCTAGCGCGGCTGCCGTGCGGCTCCATCACGTCTCGCGCTGCCGGTAGAGACCCCATGCACGCGACACGAGAGAAAAGTCGGGGAGCGCCTGTCGCGTCGCAGGTAGACAAGCCTGCAGCTCCACCGAGAAAAGTGGGTGGCCTACCCGACAATACGCAGGCGGTATGGAGGAGCTAGCCTATAGGGGCCTGCATCTCGGAGGTACGCAAGCCCGCCGCCCCGTCGAGTGGAGCGGGTGGCCTATCTCACA